GTGATTAATGGTTTTGTTCACAGTAGGTTCAAATATGCTAACTCAATGTTAGCATTCTACGTTGAGCTAAGTATATCAAAAGTTCCCAACCAGGGAAAGTGATATTTTTCTTATATAGACAAACCATAACTAGTAAACCATACTTATTTACAAATGGATGTTTCCGTGGTAACAGTATGATGTAAAGTTGACTATTACTGTCCAATAAAGACTACTGCCTAAATATGTAACAAACGTGCACGCTGAGCTCATTATATGCAAACATTTAATGATACATTTTGCCTCTCTGTGGGTGTTGTCTATTGCCCATTGAACATGTAATTGCACTATAAGAATTATTAGGCATTTGTGATGAATCATTTGTGTTTATTTGAAAGAGCGTATTTTTTAGTTGATTGGGCCATGGGCAATGCCAGGTTAGTATAAGACACCGTTATACGCGAACAAGAGGAGAATTTGCTGACCGAATCAGCGTCTTGTGTCTCGGAAATCCAAAAGCTTATTAACTATTAGCAACCCGTTTAATGGAACATAAATTAATGCAACCACTCACGTCGTACGGTATTTAAACACAATTTATTACCTTAGTAAATTTAAATTCACTCACTGTACTATCGCTCGTGTCGTTTGTACTAGTATATTTATATAGAGACGGAGATCATTGACAAATAATAAAATGTCGGCACGCTAAGATGAAGAAGATCAATGGATGCCGAAAAACCCACAATTATGTACAGTAATGTTATTCATAAAATATAAATAAAATGGATTTTTAGCACAGAGAGTTTCACATATATCAAGTACTGTAATACCCAACTCACAATCGAATGGTGACATAATGACAAAGCTACGTCGCGACCTCGTGCTGAAGTTTTAGAATTTGACAATCAGTATCAATTTATTCTGATTGATATGGTTCTTTGGGATTAATGAGACCGTGGAACCCTGGACGGTTTTCTTGACTTCCTCGGAACAGTGAGTCTGAATTACCGGTTTTCATATTATATATATAATATTTAGTTGATTTAATTACGGAGACGATTTTCTCGAAAATTTGCAATAATCGACTGATAATGAGAATTTCGCATTATTGAAATGGCTACCTCTACCTTTCGTGCTCGTTAGCTCAGTAGATAGAGAAGAGTCAAGTAGAACGTGAGTAACACAGAATATATATTATTCATGGCCAGAAAATTATCAACATTATAATATATTCTATGAAAGGTGACACACAGTTTAGAGCCAATTGTAACTAGAAAGCACCATTTTACTTTACTTTACAATGAATGTATTTGGCAACTTTCTGTCTCTATGGTAACCTGGTCAATATTTATTACAACATTAAATTGCTTGGTCCTAGACTCAAGGCCTACGTCTTTCGCAAATTTCATGAAAGTTGCACGATTTCATTGTGTATGGTAAACCACATACCCTGTAGGTCAATACTTTACGTGGTGACTGGTGATGAAAAGGTTTTCTAAAATAATTGCAACAATTTTGGCACGTCACACAAAGCCCACCGCATACTGGCCCGACAATACAGCTTTACAATTTAAATTTATTTAACTAATGAACAACAAAAATATTGATTTAAAATATATGCATGTTATTTTCCAAACAAGTCGCAGTTATTTCGTTTGTAAATTCATTTAAAATCAGATTTTAATTCCTCATTGCGTGCGTAGTGAGCTTTTAGTAAATATACATATGTGTTTTGCACTATAACATTATATTAAAAGTACATCTAACAAATAACGGACGTCATGCATCATTCGTATATAAAAACAAAATGGAATGTATGCAGCTCTAGAAAATGTGCGATAGTTAACCATGAAACAATATACTCGTGAAAAAGATTCATAACCAAATATCCAAATATAACCACCACGATCTAGCAATGTGGTTTTACATTTCAGTTACAAATACTTTTGTCATGTTATTTGTCTTTACTATTATTATCTAATAAAATACCTAATCTAAATAAATTTAAATTGAATTGAAAGAACATCCGCAATCTGTTTATTTCGATTAGCATTCCTTCAAAACAT